GCTGCCACTAAATGACCACAAAATCAGCTCTTCAAGTGCCAGCCAAGACACAAAATTTGCTTTCTCTTGCCACAATTTAGGTAGGTCCCTAGTTATGTAAAATGAAATACCATCAAACAAATGTTTTCAAAGAGGGATGCTAAGAAATGAAGGGGGAAAAAGTATTTGGGTTTTTATAAACCTCACCCAGATTAGGATCACAATCTTAAAGTACAGACACAGGGCAACTTTTTCACTTGTGATTTAGGAATGAATAAAACCAAGCATCTTATATATTTTTCAAAAACACCCCACCAATGATGATTTCTAAAACAATGAACAGATGGCATTTCTTTCATACAAGGACCCTTAATATTACTAACACTATCAAAGCCGAAAAGTTTTCTGTTGTGCATATTGCCAAAAATCTGCCGGTAGAGAATATATCACTGAGTAAGTAAGGGTTCAGGGCAAAGTATTTTACATGTTTATGAAAAAGGGATGGAGACAATGCAGCTAGAATGGCAAAGGGGATCATTTTTTTATGCTTATTCAGATGAGCTTTCAAGCATAATTATCTGTATTAAAAGTCAAGTTAAAATTCTGTAGCAGCTTTCTGGATAAACTGGAAATATACATTGAACAAAATCCCAAAATGTTAAAAGCTCAGAATAATGGCATTCTGAAAATACACAGATTTGAGTACAGCCTTCTCCTCAACCACCCAATCACCCACCACTAATTTCAGTTTATGAGTCTCAATGTTATTTACATAGTCAGCATCCTTGCAATATACCAACAATAAACTATGACTACATATGTAATCATGTGGAGGGGGGGAACGGTGTTTTATTTATTTATGTATCTATTTTTAGTATTTTGCTAACCTTACATTAAACTTGTTAGGAAAGTTTCCAAATATGAAGGATGCTCTGAGTTTCCCTTTACTGATCCCATTGGTGGTTATATTGTTTTCTTACTAAATATACACAACTCTAATTTACCAATGCTATCTTCTATTTATTTATTTAGGACATGAAGCATTTGTTAATTCTCTACAACAAGAATGTCTGATGGATGCATACATTCTCCTACTTATTATACAACATCTCTCTTCAGGTTTAATTGCTTGAGGGAGCCCAGAGAAGAGCAACGTGCATGATCAGAGGACAGGAAAGCAGACCCTACGATGACAGGCTGAGAGCCCTGGGGCTCTTTAGCCTGGAAAAGCACAGGCTCAGGGGTGATCTGATGGCCACCTATAAGTTTATCAGGGGTGACCACCAGTATCTGGGGGAATGTTTGTTCACCAGAGCGCCCTAAGGGATGACGACTAGGTCCAACAGTCATAAACTACTACAAGACCATTTCAGGCTGGACATAAGGAAGAATTTCATTACTGTCCGAGCCCCCAAGGTCTGGAACAGCCTGCCACCGGAGGTGGTTCAAGCGCCTACACTGAACACCTTCAAGAGCAAACTGGATGCTTATCTTGCTGGGATCCTATGATCCCAGCTGACTTCCTGCCCTTTGGGCAGGGGGCTGGACTCGATGATCTTCTGAGGTCCCTTCCAGCCCTAATGTCTATGAAATCTATGAAATTAATGAAGTGCTATTGGATTTTATTATTAGCTTCAGTATCAGAACAAATCACTAACTTCTACCAAACATTATGAGAAACAGAAAACAGGTATATTAATAAATCCCAGTAACAATTTAATTTAAGTCAGTACTTTCTGTCCTATGGCATTTATAT